ATCATTTTTGTGTCATTTTGTTCTCAATGCATTCCACTATGTGATGAATAAAGATTTTCAACTGGAATATTTCATTCATTGACATCTAGGATGTGTTAGTGTTCCCTTTATTTTTTTGAGCAGTGTACACTTCCATACTTGGCTCCACATTCCACACCTATTCCTGTAGAAAATGTGCTAACAGTTGTATACATTTGCTTTATGTCATGCAGGCTGAGTCCAGCTGACATTGCTTTCCTGACCAAGTACTGCACTGTGGTGAAGGCTTTAAACATCCTTCAGTCTGAGACCAGCACACACATGGGGTGACTCCTTCCAGTGATCTTCCAGCTAAAAGCAAAACTCAGCAGGCTGGAGACCTTCTCCCAGATGTGTCTGCCACTCATCAGAGCCGTTCAGGATGGTGTCCCAAAGCGCTTTAGTGGGTGATGGAGGACCCTGAACTGATTGCTGCAGCAATTCTTCTTCCAAAGCTCAAGACCACCTGGACTGAGAGGAAGCAGGTATGACTTCATCATTTAGTATCATACTGTCATCAGTTGTTGCTTATGAATTGAAAAATGAATATGAATATGAAAAATGTGTAAGGTCTTTACCTTACTATGTTAAGCACTATGTGATGACATCTGTTGTAAACTGCACTATACAAATAAAGTTGAATTGAAATGAATTCCAGTTCTGTCCACTTAATAAGTGCAATAACATAAGTCTTTCTACACAAGTTGTAGTTATTGTAAGTTATGCATTATGATGAACTCTTGTTGCCACATTAATCAAAACTTGATTGTCAGAAATATTCAATATGTGTTTTGTCTTTTTCATGCAACAGGTCTGATTTATGTGAGACAACACATTGACCAGGTGGCAGAGGCTGGGGTGGAGCAAGTCGGGCAACATTCATCAGATGAAGAAGATTTCTTCTCCTCTATGAAGTCCACAAGGTACAGGGGATCTGGATGGGTACTTTGCCTGTGTCTCAGACAGCATGGATCTGCTGAACTCATTTCCACACATCAAAATACTTTCTCACAAACTCAACACTGGCCGGCCTCAGCTGCCTGTGAGCGTCTTTTCAGCTGTGCTGGACTGCTGCTCACTGCAAAGTGAGCAAGATTGACCTCTACAAACTTTGAAAATCACCTGCTGCTCAAAATTAACAGGAAGTTCAGAGAGTAAAGCTCTAAAGCTGGACACAAATAAAAGAACAGTAATCTAGAGGTACAGTAGGTCAGTTTTTAAAAAATTAGAAAATGTTTTTATAGCAGCTGCCATACAGTTTATTTGACATGTTCTATTATTTGATAGGTGGAGCACAGTCTCATATCAAAGAATGCCACAGTTTTGTCTTAAAATCACCTTGATGGTCCCTGATACTAGAGTCTGGTCTTCTTTGAGTCATTCAGGGAAAGTCACAGCTCTTGTGACCCTGAACCATTTTGATTTGTAGATTTGCAGGTCAACTGCCATTGCACTTTAATTTGTAAAGTTGTTCCTTTAATTTAAAAACACTACTTTGTGATATATATCCCTGTGTCTTTCTTGCGCTATAGACTCTCCTCCCATTGTCAAAAAAGGAACTCAGTAACTTTTACTCTGGGTACATTTTAAATGAGCGACTTTTTACTTTTACTTGAGTAATTTTTAGACTGATAATTTTACTTGTACTTAAGTAAATGTAATCAAAGTAATAGTACTTTTACTTGAGTAGAATATTTTAATATTTTTTCCCCTTCTGCTGTTTATACATGTCTATTTTCAAATATTTGTACTAGTGAAGTTATTCCTCATGTACATTTGAACCTGCCTAAACCTCACACAGTAGCTTTGTCACAGAATTTGCAAACAAAACTTTGACAGAATAAGAAAACGTTAATAAATTAGACGTAGCTACACTCTGCTTTAACCTTTGTCAGGTTGATTGACCCTTCTTATATATTTTGGCTCACTGTAGATCGTACCTTGAAGTTTTTGTATTTTGTTTGCTTTTGCTTCACTATAATATTTCCTACAGTTAATCCGATCATGGCTGTAGTCAGCGATTACTTTTCATAACAGGATAACGTTCAAAACATTTTTTAAGCTTATAAAATATGAAACTAGTCAGTGTTGATATGAAGACTTGAAACATGTCTGCCTGTGTCTGCTTTTTATCTTTATTTACACTGTAGTGAGCAGGAAAAGGCCTGCTTTGATGCCTTAAAGACATTTTTCTGCCTCATTTGAGTCTTTTGGACCTTAAGATGAGTCTTTGTCCGTGTTTGTTCTCAATGTCGAGGGAAGAAAAAGAGCTTCATGGAGACCTGCTTTGTGTTCTTCTGCTGCGATGAACACGTGGGTCACTTCCTGTGCAGGATGAGTTTACAATTCAAAGATGCCCGCATTCCCACAAATTAAGGTAATGACCGAATAGAGAATGCTAAATGAAAAATATTTGATTAGGACAAAGTGTGGCCTTACAGTGACCCAGAGATGTGAAATATCAAGAAAAATTTGTATAAAAACTGTATTTTATTAGAAAATGTACAAATACACATTCATGTGCATGATGAATATGTTAAATAAAAATAAATAAATGCAAAAGTAAAATTTACAATTTTATACCAATCAATCTCTGTAACAAATAATAATAATAAAAAAATATTAAATCTAATAAACATCTAACATAAATATTTGGAAAAAATAATAAAAGTCAATAAATAAAATAAATGAATTGTTTTTATATTTAAATTTTTTCAAATTATTTTTTACATATGTATTGAATATTTTTATACATTATATTATAATAGTAAATGTATTTATTAGAAATCAAGCATTATAATAGAAAACAGAAAAAAGAAAACATAAATAAAACATAAAACCAACAACTATGAATACCTTAAAAAGGACTATAAAATGTATTTAAAATAAAATGGAGAAAAACACATTGACATTTAAAATACAAATAAAAACACATTTTCAATATTTAGTTTTAACTTCTGTATCTGTTCTGCTTGCTATTACAGAACACGAAAATTTGAGCCAGTCAGATATAAAACCCACTGATTATTTATTTTTAAATAATTTGGTATTATATTATATAAAATAAATTGTTTCAGTAATTTATTTTTAGATTTGACTCTTTTTTTTTTTGTTATTTATATTTTCATGTTATTAACTTTATTTATGTATCCTCTATTTGTTTAGTTTTTATGTAGGTCAGTTTAACATCACACCTTTTCCTTGTAGCTCGACTTAATTTGTCCTTATTATCTCCTTCTGATGCTAATTACCTGTTTAACAGAGGTAGGCTATTGGGCAATATACTTCTGCATATATGAATAAAAAATAAGGTAACTGGAAAATTCTAAACCACCTTCTGTCTCTGTTTGATCTACAGTATCTCTCCTCTGACAACCGTTCCTGTTCACCATTTGAATCGAGCAGGTCAGTGACTCACTGATTTCCAATACCAGTCATTGATTAGTAAAATGGTTACCAAACATCATGCTCTAAAAGTGAAGATGTCTGTGTTTGCTCGTGCATTTTCATCCCACGCTCTCATTCATTTGCAGGTCTTTGGCCTTTCTGCTCTTTAAGGTCAGCCAGTGATGCTCAATGAATCTCAGTCAAGTGACAGCTACAGTCTATTGGTTTGATGATGACAAGGGGGGGAAAAAAAAAAAAAAAGACAAACAACAATTAGCTGGGGCGAGAGCGGCACAGGATCACTGAGTGCACAAAACCCCCAGTTATCAGGAAAACAGATTGCTGACTGACCAGATTTCCATCTGGAAGGAGGAGTGTGAGAGCGAGAGGGTTGAAATGAGGCTGGATAATTAGGAAAAGCAGCCTGTATCCCCAACGGGAAAGAGCAGCGAGCTCCATACATGCAGCTATTCGCACCATCCCTCCGTCTCTATCTCTTTAAGAGCCGCGAGAAGGAGTGTGTGTTCAGTGTGTGTGTGAGTGTGTGTGGGGGAGGGGTATTGGCTGGGGTGGAACAGTCCTGTAATGAGCAGATTTTAGAGAGAGAGAGGCAGAGATAGAAAGCGAAAGAGAGAGAGAGAGAGAGAGAGAGGCCGAAAAACAAGAGAGGACAGATGACTTGGTGGAATTGGGATATTACCACAACAATCCAGATTTAGGCGAGCGCTGGGATGGAGAGGACAAAGGGAAAAGAGGAGGAATAATTTGTTGTTTGCTGCTCCTGCATCCTCATCTTCTTCAGGAGGGAGAGTCGTCTTTAGATCCCAGCCGAGCAGAGAGGAGGAGAAGGGAGGAAAAGGGAAGGAGATATTCACACTCCGTTATGTCTGCCGAGGCGTGTGTGCGAGTGTGTTTGGATGTGTGTGTCTGCCGAGCGTTAGCCTGGATTGCTTGTTTCCAGGCCATGCTATAGAGAAATATCCTCAACTTCCCTGCTCCTCTGCTCTCTTTTTTTTTTTTTTTTTTTTTTTTAAATGGCGTACCAGCGCAGCAGCAGCATCCCTGTCCTGTATCTGTGTGCCGGTGCGGCAGGGATGTGGGGATGCTCTAATGTCTGATTGAGCTCGGTCGCCGCTGCTGCCACCGCCGCTCTGAGGGCCTGTGGGACTGCCGGAAAAGCCTAGACCTCGCTTGTCTGGAGCGCCCCGCTGCACGGCCGAGGCGACGGGCCTGCGTGGAGCAGGAAGGTGGAGGAGGAAGTGGAGGAGGAGGAGGATGAGAAGCACTCTGAGCCTGCATGCCCATGGGAAGCAGCATGCACGGCCGCTGTGTTCGTCACTCCAGACCCATCGCTGAGGCTCGGATTGCTTCTCTGTCGTAAGGCGATGCTCTTCGGCCCGCGTCCTGCTGTTTCTAAAACGAGGAGCCGGTGTTTTGCATCCTAAACTAAGAGCAGAGGGAGAGTCGAGGCCCTGCACCTCCATGCTACCTGATCCAGACGAGGCCTCCTCCCTCCTTGCTCCTTCTGAGTGAACCGGGCCCTTGTTTTTTCTGTTTCTTGACGTTCTAAGGATTTGCCTAAACCTGTTTCATGCATGTCCACTGGAGGCAGGTTTGACTTTGATGACGGGGGGTCGTACTGCGGGGGGTGGGAGCAGGGTAAGGCCCATGGCCGAGGGGTCTGCACGGGGCCCCAGGGTCAGGGCGAGTACGCCGGCGCCTGGAGCCACGGCTTCGAGGTCCTGGGCGTGTACACGTGGCCCAGCGGGAACAGCTACCAGGGCACCTGGGCGCAGGGAAAGCGGCATGGCATCGGCGTGGAGAGCAAGGGCCGCTGGGAGTACAGAGGGGAGTGGACGCAGGGGTTCAAAGGTCGCTACGGGCAGCTGGAGAGCACGGCCAGCGGGGCTCGGTACGAGGGGACGTGGAGCAACGGGCTGCAGGATGGATATGGCACTGAAACCTACTCTGACGGAGGTAAGGATGCTGAAGAGACTGTGCTTTACTTTACTCCCCCTGAGCCTTCTGTTTTCAGACCAAGCACCAGTTTAGCGATCAGATCGGTCCGCTTTGACTCGTCTAAATAAAACGTCTCTGCTTGTCCCACAAACTGATTTTCAGGCTGCAAGTGGAGCAACTTGCTTACTTTAACTGCTGCTGAAACCCACTGTTACACATCTCCAATGCAGGCTACATAAATAACATGTAGGTCACATCCACATGCACAGATAGATTACTGAAGAGGCCTGCCGGGCACAGCACCAGGGGCCCAGGGGGTCAGGAGGCCATATTTTGTATAGTGTGCAATAAAATATTCATGTAATATGCGTGGAGAGGAGAACCAGCATGCAGGAAGCATTAGACAGGAAACTTCTTATCATCTTCGACAGAAACTAAACACAGTTGAGCTGCAGTTTCTCAATCAACAGCAGCATCTGTGAGTTCAGCTTCATCTCCAAGATGTTACAGGAAGAAACAAAAAATAGCTTCTGACAGCCGGGAAATGACTACACAGAGACAAACACACGTGAAAAGACACAAATTCAAGAGACAAAGAGACAAAACATAATTGCATATGGCCCCAAATTAAAAACAAAGTGATGCAAAAGAAGTACAGACGCAAAATGACTGAAAAGTCACACAAAATGACTACAAAAACAACTACAAAAAGGGAAACGACCGCGAACTAAAACAAATTGTCTCAAAAGGTAAACAAAAGAACAGCAATGAGATACAAAAAGACAGTGGCTTCAAAGTAAAACAACCACAAAGTGACACAAAACACCCAAAGACACAAGAAAATAAAAAAGGAAAGACAGCTGAAAACTAAGAAGCACAAAAATGTTTTTAAAAAAAAAGAAAAGAAAAAAAGAAGTCAAACAACCACAAAGAAACACAAACCAATGGAAAAGGGTACAAAAAATATATAGGCAAGTAGACAAAAATGACTGCAACGACAAAATGTAGTAAAATGACCACAAAGAGACACGAAACAACTACAACGCAAAACAAACGCAAAGAAAAACAAAATGATTACAAAGAGACATAAAATTACCAAAAAGAAATATGGATGACTCTAAAGACACACTAAAAGGTGAAAAACTACAGTGAATCAACTGCAAAGACACAAAACGACCACAGAAAACCCACAAATTGAACCACAAAGAGAGACATTGACAAAAGACACAAAAAATCAAGAGAAAAAGAGACAAAAACGACTACAAAGAGATGCCAAACAACCACAGAAACAAGTCAAAC